TCAAAGTGCTTTTTACCTTTCCTGAATTTTGTTATTTGATGCAGGGCTTTCTTTGAGGAGGCCTCTGGTCCTTGGTGATGTCAAAGCTGGACTCTATCTTTTCAATTCAATCCACCATTTTGCTGATTCTCTGCATCCAAATAAAAATGTTACACTTACACAAGGCTTTTCTAAAATTTGTTGCACTTCACATTCTATGTCTAGTTTTGGTAACAATTTGTGGCATGTAAGGTTGGGACATCTACCCATTTCAACCATGAGATAAATTTCTATTTTACCACAAACTGTTGTTTGTAAAGAAGATTCCATGTTCCATTTGCCCTATGGCTAGACAATATAGATTGCCTTTCCCTAATAGCAACAGTTCTACTAATCACATTTTTGAACTAATTTATATTGATATCTAGGGTCCTTATAAGGTACCTACTCACAATGGTTTTAAGTATTTCCTTACAATTGTTGATAATTTTAGTCGGGGTACTTGGACCTATTTATTGAGCACCACGAGTAATGCCTTCATTGTCCTCAAGTCTTTCATATCTATGGTAGAAAGATAATTTGAAGTCAAAATCAAGAGAATTAGGTCTAATAATGCTTTTGAACTAAGCAGCAGTATTGCTGCCATAGCCTACTTCTTTTCAAAAGTAATTCTTCATCAAACTACCTGTGTTGGTACTCCTGAACAAAATGGTATTGTTGAAAGAAAACACAAGCATTTGATGAATACTTGCAGGGCATTTCTTTTTCACTCTAAAGTACCTATTTGTTATTGAGGGGAATGTCTCCTTACTGCCGCTTTCCTTATTAATAGATTTCCAACTAAGCTTCTTCACTGTAAATCCCCGTATGAAGTCCTATTTCACAAAGCACCTAATTACACCTTCCTTAAGAGTTTTGGTTGTTTATGTTTTGCCTCCACTTTGCCTCATCTTAGAAGAAAACTTGATCCTAGGGCAGTTACTTGTGTATTTCTTGGATACCCTACTGGCAAGAAAGGCTACAGATTGTTAAACTTACAGATTAGAGAAATTTTTGTTTCCAGGAATATGATTTTTCATGAGTCTATTTTCCTACAAGTCTTCACACTGATTTCTCTCCTTTATTTCCTATCTCTTCTACCGTTGATTCATATGCATCTCATGTACCTCAACCTACTGATTCCTTCCCTTCTCCTACTGCCTCTTTTCCTTCTATTCCTACTCCTCCAACATTCCCTATTGCTCTTTCTGCTGAGCCTTCTGACTCTGTTTCACCTTCTGTTTCCCTTCCTCCACCTTCTTCTAGCCCTGTTCCTAGTATCTACATCATCTTCTGCTCCTCTTACATCATCTACTGCTCCTCCTGCTTCATCTACTACATCTGATTCTTCTCCTACTTTTCATCTTACTCATTCACCTAGTGCTCCTACTGATATTTTGTGCAGATTTTTAAGGGAGCATAATGCACCTGTCTATTTGTCTTGTTACATTTGTAGGGTTGTACACCTAACTGATGTCTCTACATCCTGTTTCCTCTCACCTGTCTCCCCTTCTACTATTTCTCCTACTGCCATTTCTACTCCTAACCAAAGCCCTTTGAATCCCTACCTCATGTACATGAGCCTTATAGCTACTCTCAGGCAGCATTAGACCCTGGTTGACAATAAGCAATGTCCAGAGAGCTTGATGCCTCGAACGGCAATGACACTTGGGAGGTTGTTCCACTACTAGTTGGGAGAAAAGCACTACCTTGTAAGTGGGTCTACAAAATTAAGCTAAGATCTAATGGGAGTGTGGAAATACTTAAGGCTCGTTTGGTTATTAGAGGAGACACTCAACAAGAAGGGATTGATTTTACAGAAACCTTCTCCCTTGTGGTCAAAATGACCACTACTAGGTGTATACTTGCTATTGCAGTAAGAAAATTGGGGTCTTTACCAATTGGATGTGCATAATACTTTTCTACATGGGGATCTACAAGAAGAGGTTTATATGATATTTCCTGTTGGTTTAGTTGCCCTGCTCCTAATTTAGTTTGTCGCCTAAAGAAGTCTCTATATGGGTTTCACCAAGCCTCTAGGAAATGGTATGCCCGCTTGACTGCTGCCCTCAATTTCGAGGGTTTTACTCACTCCTTAAACGACTACTCTATCTTCTACAAAAAGAATTGTGACTCTGTTCTTTGGTGGCTGTTTGTGTGGATGATATTTTACTCACTGGTAACAATGTTCATCAGCTCAATGATTTAAAACAATTTCTATATCAGAAGTTTAAGATAAAAGACTTGGGGAACTTATCTTATTTTTTGGGTATGCAAGTGCTTCGTGAGCCGTCATGTCTGATTCTCTATCAACGCAAGTTCACCCTTGAACTTATTACTGAGTTTGACTGCCTTGGTTTGTCTCCTGCTTCTTCTCCTTTGGATCCCTCTTCCAAGCTGCATGCAGGGGTTCGTGCCCCTCTTTCTGACCCTCTACTCTTTCGTCGTCTATTGGGGACACTCAATTTTCTAACCCATACCCGTCCTGACATCTCCTTCGCCGCTCAGCATCTTAGCCAATTCATGCAGGATCCTTGCGAGACACATTTCCCTGCAGCTCAACATTTCCTACGTTACCTTCTTCGTGACCCTGGTTTGGGCCTTTTCATTCCGCTGCTCCTTCTCTTGAGTTGCTCACTTTCTGCGACACCGATTGGGGTTCCTGCCCTGATACTCGTCGTTCAGTTAGTGGGTTTTTCATCAGTTTGGGGGTTGCCTTGTTTCTTGGAAATCAAAGAAACAACCTTCCCTCTTTTTGTCTTCCACTGAGGCCGAGTACCGGTCAATGAGGCGTGTTGTTCCTGAGCTTACTTGGCTCGTTCGTCTTCTCGATGATCTTTCCATCGCTCCTTTTTTGCCAGTACCTCTCCACTCGGACAGTCAGGACGCTATCTACATCGCTAAACACAGCTTTCCCAAGCATAACATAGATAATAGGGTTAAATGGTAGCTACAACAAGTCACAAGTTAGAACTAGAACTAAAGAAACAACCACAAGATGATAATCCGAATTAACGAAGATGTAATTAATAAACGTTAATAATCATGTCAACCACAACCCTAGAAACTAGAGTGCTTAGCCACTCATGTTTGTAGTAATAATTTTCCAAGTATTTTGCATAAACAAATTACAAAGAAAAGATGAAAGAATGAAGAACTCGATGATTTTCTTCGCCAAAAGTTCTTCCACGTAATGTTCTTGCCTCCAAATAATATCGAACCCCTCAAAAATAGGTTTAGAACCCCTTTTATACATGTTGGGGACGTTTAGGGTTGAAATCCCCTAGTCCCAGCTGAATTAGGATAAAATCCGCCCTTTCGCGTCTCGCTTGGCTCCTGTCGCCAACCAGGACAGCAAACTTTTTGGTCTTCTGCCATTGGCATTTTCGTTGGTGCCTAGCGCCAACCTGGGCACCAAACTTAAACTTCCTCCAAATTTTTTCCTTTTTGACGTCATTTTGCATGCAAACTCCCCAAATCACTTCCAATTGACTCCTACACTTATAAATACCATTATCAAGCAACAACAACAACAACCCAGTAAAATCCCACTAGTGGGGTCTGCGACAGTTATTAAGCTTGAGTCACAAATATGCACACTAAAGTTAACGAGATTAAGGCAAATGCAAGGCAAATTACATGCAAAAATATAGAACTTTAGCCAAAAATCAATCGCTAAAAACCCCGTCTTTCACGAGCGTACTAAACATGTGGAACTTGATTGCCACTTCGTCAGGCAACAGTTCCAAGGTGGTCTCCTTTCTCTTTCTTTTCTTCCTTCTCACCACCAGCTCGGCAAGTTGGGGGTTCTCTCCGCCCCCTCCAATTGGGGGGGAGGGGGGGGTATTGCCAGTGAAACTTCAGATCCAGGTTGAATCGCAGACTGAAAAGGATTGGAGAGGTGTTTGGACTTTCTATCAAATGTCTAAGACCAAATGAGGCAAATGAACTGGACTGTATTGGGTTATGCGTGTAAAGACCTCTATTGGGCCTTCATCAGACACGTTCATTCCTCACATGTATATTTTAGTTTAATCTCAGCCATCCATAACTTACAGCTGTATTACAGTAGTTTAAGTAGCTTCTAGAATAGGTTAATTATGTAATTTCCTTTTCTTTACACACGTGGGTTAGTTAGATATACAACTGAGGCGGTTAGTAGTATATTCATTTTGCTTGTAACAGTAGAGATAGAATCATTAGAATACAAAATTCATTTTTGCTACTACATAAATTCTCTCTCTAAAATCAACATATATAGTGATAGCTAGTGTAAACTAAGAATTACACCAAGTGGAATTTCAAATATAATACCTTTATTGGCAGATTATTAATGTATATATAAAAAATTACTTGTAGTTACTTATAATAAATAATCTAATTATATAAATAATCGTCACATCTTCAATACATATAACTTAAACTCAATCTTTAGTTCCAAACTATAAAGTACTCGACAGTAGACAACATATAAAGCAAGCTAAGTCATCAATAATATCTCTCCTTCATAGATTCTGAGTTTGAAATGCACTCCATTAATCTTTTCCATATCCAGATTACAACCATGCCATTAACACATTTTCAACGACTAATTTTTTCATTGAGAAAGAGGAACCCACGTACTGTTAAACAAAATTTCAAAAACGAAAAACAAAGGAAAGTTCAAACCCACGTACCGTTTTCTTAATTCCTTTTGTGGATTGTTTTGATGATAAGGTAGAACTAACATATAATAATGCTCAGATTTGGTCCCTGGCCACAGCCAAACAGAGAAGAAAATTATAATCAAACACAAGGATTAGATAACTGTGTGTTAAATGTTATTAAAAACATTTGTCCACCCAGCTGAAGCCAGTACAATCATATCATGACTTTTTCTTTTTTCCTGTTTTTAGATCGAATAAAAAAATAAAATACTTATCCACAAACATAAATATAACATTTTATGCGGCCTACATAAGAGGTAGCAGTCGAAGGCCTGAAATCATTTGTTAATAATCATGGCGACTTACACATATTTTTTGCTAATTAGCTTCGTATTATTCAATTGTTTCTTAGCTTGGAAAGAGGTATATGCAAAGCCAAATGTGCCAAGACAAGATATAACATTTCAATTTAATCGGAGCTGTTTCCCCCCAGATTTCATTTTTGGGACTGCCTCATCTGCTTATCAGGTATTTTTCAAATTATTCTTTCCTTAATTTCTTTTGGAGAAAAATAATACTAGTACTCTCTCCATCTCAATTTGTTTGATGCAGTTGAATTTTGAGAGTCAAATGAGTTTTTCTTTGACCATGAATTTTTCATATGTCGTTTAAATACTTTGGATTGTCAATTATTGTAATAAATAGTTCTTTTATGTAGTTTCCAAAATTATTAATTTTATTAAAAAACTTAAAGAGTTTATGTCTCAATTCGCGATCAAAGTTGAGAAGTTTGACTCTCGAAATTCGTACTGCATCACACAAATTGGGACGCCAAGAAACTTTAATATTGTTTTTGGGTCCAGAGAAGGTTGGAAAGATACATCTCTATTAGGCTTGGTATAAAAACTTTCCCATTCTATATTGTTGTGCTCATTGTGAGGCCTGTAATTATATATTGTGCAGTATGAAGGAGCAGCAAATGAAGGAGGAAGAGGACCTAGTATATGGGATACATATACTCATCAACATCCTGGTACTCTGTGTGTGTACGCGCACACAAATATATTATTCTTACAATTAATTGGAGTTTACTATGTAAGATATTTTGTGGAACGAAATCATTAATATTAAGTCAAGTAATCAGAGGTAATTGAGAAAGTGAACTCCATTGCAAGTTGAAAGTGTTGGAAATCGGAAATCACACATTGCTTAGATGACTGAACAATATTTGTTGTGTGCTAAACCAAAAACTCCTGAATCCTAAGAACCTCTATCTTTTCATCATTTTTTACAAGATTTATAGAAGCAAACGAAAAGTGACATATTTGAAGAATGTAATTAATGTGTGTAGTAAAAACAAAATAAAATGTTATGCAGAAAGGATAAGAGATCTCAGCAATGGTGACGTAGCAGTTGATTTCTACCATCGCTACAAGGTATGAGAATAATCAATAAATATATTTAAATAGTTGCAAATGAGAAAAATTCTAAAAATGATATCTTCTCTTAATGAAAAATGTTTTGAATTACTATAGCTGTTCATCCCATTCCTTCTATTTTGCAGGAAGATATAAAACTAATGAAATATGAAGGGTTTGATGCTTTTAGATTTTCTATCTCGTGGTCGAGAGTTTTACCATGTAAGGTTCCTTGGATCTTTATTATAAGAATTTCACTCGCATATTTTTAATTGACTTAATTTTTTTTTTTTTTGAGGCCAAAATTGCATTAATTGGAAATTAAGGCCATTTCGCACAAGCTCATTGGTGCACAGCTCCTAAGTGTTCATTATAAGTTTCAATTAATTAACGAGCTATTTTTTTTTTTAATTTCACCCTACCGAAAATTCAACACTATCTCAATTCCACCTCATTATAAAACCTGCAGTCGTTTTTGCCTTTTATAGGGTTCCATCATCGTATTAGATTTACTCGTAAATTATCATGTAGTATTAGCTTTGATTTCGATTGAATTAATTGAGGTGTTTCCGATTTAATCAAAAATAGATGGGAAGCTAAGCATGGGAGTAAACAAAGAGGGTATCGCCTTCTATAATGATCTCATCAATGAGCTCTTAGCAAACGGTAAGTTTTTAGGGTTATTGTAAGAATTAGTAGGTGGGATGGCAATTTAGTTTGTCTCCTCATATGATTTTGAAAATTTCTCTGTCTAATTTTTAGGATTGAGATAAGAGTCAATTACTCAAATGGTCACTCAACTATCTCAAATTATCTCCTAAAGTCACTTTACTTTCATTTGTAACAACAAAGTCACTGAACTATGCCTATTGCACTCAGAAGGTCACCCAACTAGATTTTTCAAATTTTGAATTGCCAAATACCTATTTTGCCTCTAAATTATAAATATTTATCTACTTTTTTTTTAAACTTTTTAATTTATATTATGGACATACCTATAGAATAAATAAATATTATTTATAAATTAAAAAAATAAAAGTATATAAGCATGTATAACGCTGGAAAAAAAAATAACGAGCATAGTAAAAAAAATATTAATTAGAATAATTTGTTAGTAATAATAATTTTAGTATTAACAACAAAAATTCAAAAAATTATTTATACAATTCAGAATAATAAAAATAAAGGCTGTAAAATATATATTCCATGCACGTAATATAAAATAATTGTTTAAATAAGAAAGAATTACAGCACATGTCACTTGGCCTAACAACCCAACCGAAAATGGCCCACATTTGAAGCTCTTGCCCTATTTAGCCTATGTTGTACATAACTTGAAAGAAACTTTTCAGCCTTTAGCCCACTATTAAAGACATACTTTTAGGGTTTTTATTATTTTCTTCTTTCTTCATTCCCTTCTCTCTCACCGCCTCTCACTTCTTTCTTTCTAACCCACATAGATCCCTCATCCTCTCTTAACCTAGCCCCCGCTATTCCCCCTCCTCTACCCCCACCNATTGTGTAAATAATTTTTAAATTTTTGTTGTTAATACTAAAACTATTATTACTAAGAAATTATTCTAATTAATTTTTTTTACCATGCTCATTATTTTGTTATTCCAGCATTATATATGCTTAAATACTTTCTATTTTTTATTTATAAATAATATTTATTTATTCTATAGGTAAGTCCATAATATAAATTAAAAAAGGAAAATTCATAATATTAAAAGGTTTTTAAAAAAATAAAAAAAGATAAATATTTATAATTTAGAGGGTAAAATAGGTATTTGACAATTCAAAATTTGATAAATCTAGTTGAGTGACCTTCTGAGTGCAATAAGCATAGTTCAGTGACTTTGTTGTCACAAACGAAAGAAAAGTGACTTTAGGAGATAATTTGGGATAGTTGAGTGACCATTTGAGTAATTGACTCGTTGAATTAATTAGGCCCAAATTTATTTTTCTTTGGCACTAATCTTGTCCCGTACGTGCGATAGGTATAGAGCCTGTTGTCACACTCTTCCATTGGGATACTCCTCAAGCCCTTGAGGATGAGTATCTTGGCTTTCTAAATTACAAAATTGTGTAAGTGTGAAACTTTCAGTTTACCACAAAGTAACAATTCTTTTATATTAATAATTTCATCTCTATATATTGGCAGAGAGGATTTTCGAGATTATGCAGAAGTTTGCTTCAAAGAATTTGGTGATAGGGTTAAACTTTGGAGCACTATCAACGAGCCATGGAGTTTTGCATTTGCTGGATATGACTTAGGTTTATTTGCACCTGGGCGATGTTCAGTTTTGACTAATACCTGTGTTTCTGGGAACTCCGCAACTGAGCCTTACGTTGTTGCCCACAACTTGCTCCTTGCCCATGCAGCAGCCACTAAACTATACATACATCAATACAAAGTACACATAAATAAGAGTTCTTCCTTTAAATTCCTAATTGCTATTTCTTTTCTTTTTCTATGTGTAAAACATGTTATTTTGCTATCGTGTCGTGTCGTGTCGTACTTTACAGGTTACACCGAACTTAGCAGCTTTCATCCAGATACTGTATTTGTCTTAAGAAATTCATTAAACATGCACCACTAATTAATTTAAAACTTAATAACTTAAAAGCACTAGAATCTTGAACCCATAAATTTCATATTCTGGTTCCGCTTCTAATTCTTCATTTTTGTTCTTTATGCATGAAATTATACAGAAATCACAGAAGGGCGAGATAGGAATAGTACTGGTGTCTAATTGGTTTGAACCCTACTCGAAGAGTGAAGAAGATGCCGAAGCAGCTCAAAGAGCCCTCGACTTCATGTTTGGATGGTAACTAAAACGTTTACAGTGGAATTTAACTTTTATTATACATTATAAGTATAAATCAAAGTTTACATAAGAAGATAACTAAGTAATAAGTAAAATTCGTAACATGAAAAATAGAGATGATAACCTGGTATACAACATGTGAAACATAACATGTAAATTCTATAACTGTTAATACATATAAGCTAAAATTCAAATATCTATGCTTATTTGTCTTATGTAAAGGGCAATCACATGTCAAATTGATTACTATCAATCCCGCCAAACTTATTGATTTTAATTAGTTTCCCGTTACAAAACATTAATTAAAATACTCTTAGGGGTCGTTTATTTAACGTAAAAACAAATATAATCTGAGCATAAGATTCTGTATAAATTATACTTCTTTGTTCGATTTTATGTGACAATATGATGTAAATTAAGAGTCCATCAAAGTGTATAGAGAACTTGGTTCTCTATCGGTTCCCACAGAACACAAACACAACAGTAAATAAACAATCCAACAACGTTTACGTAGACTCTTAATCATTCACCTACTTATAATAACTATATTGCAAGTCTCTTTGTAATAATTCTATTACAAAGCTAATCACTTTGACTAACTCTAGTCAAACACAAACCAAGGTTTATGGTTTACAAAGGTATCCCACGAGATGCTTCTAAATAACGCTGAGTAGGAGTTACAAGTGAATAATATGAACAAATACACAACAATACTAAGGACACACAATTTACTCAATGTTGGGATATGGTCCTTCGTTATGTTGCTGCTTTGTTCTCCAATGCCTTGGAGTAAATGAAGACGACCGCATAGTTGAGAGTAAAATATGTTTTAGGGTTTGCAAGTGTGTGTAATCCCTTGACTCATATTGGTAATATATAAGTGAGGTCACCAAGGATGATTCCAGCAAGTGGCCGGTACACAACATGCTTCAATTTTGACTGATGCACTGTTGCGTCTGTAGTGCAGCAACGTTAACATCTGTAAAGAGTTGACACAAGAGGAACTGATATCTATTTGTTCCCTCTGCCGTGCCCTTAACTAATTTTCTTGGAACTTGTGCCAGATATTTGACTTGTTGTTCTGAGCACGGAGAGGCTTTATATCAGGTTCCCTATCTGGTTCTCATATGAAGTTTGTTAAATCATCAAAACAAAAAGCCACACACCTTATCAATTCTCCCCTTTTTGATGATGACAAACTTGAATTGATATTCCCCCTGAGAACCAGATCATCATATTGTTCCCCCTGCAGATTAGTCATATCCCCCCTGAGAACCTATTTCACCCCTTCATATTTTCCCCCCTTTTGGCATCATAACAAGAATTTTATAAGTAAACACAAAAAGATGTCCAGCAAAGTTAACTCATGCCACTTGTGTGCACACAGCATAGCTAAAGATAGAACACAAGAGTATAACATGCATAGAAAAAAAACTAAGATGCTTATTAAATTTAAGGATAAGAAAAACAAGTAGTAGTACCATCTATAAAATCCACAAAATAAACATTGCCAAATTACCACAGTCATAGGGATAAAATATCAAAACAGGACACTAGAGAGTAGAACAGGGACTGATAAACTGGACACTAACAAGGAGACAATTTAGGGGGCACTGGAAGAGGAAGAGAAGGACGAAGGGGCAAGAGCTTTGAGGAGAACATCCACTCGAGCATTTGCAGACCTCTACTCATTGATTAGCTGCTCTTTCAGGTTCTCAACCTCTTTCCCCATCTTTGCATTCTCAGTTGTCAAGCGGGCAACTTTTGCACCCTGAGTACTGCTAGATCCAGGTTCCTCTCTGGCTGAACTGAGCTTTCCCTCAAGAATGGTATTCTGAGCCTTCAGCCTCCTTATCTCCTCCTTAGCAGCACTCTGAGCATCAATCTACTGCAAAATTGTAGAACTAATGCCAACTCCCCCTTCTTATCAATACACGCACATTCCTCCAAGGTATTTATTGAGAACATTTGCTTACGAGTTCCCACAGCTGCTCTCCCTAAGGGGACTTTGAAATGTTCAAAAACTCTAGTGAGCAGGAACCCATATGGAAACCCATGGTTCCCATCCTTGAAGTTTGGCACCTTCTTCATGTGTTCAATCAGGATTCCGGGCAAATTGATAGTAGTGTATCCGTCCAATGCCTCCAAAAAAAACAGGTCCGCTATCGATGTAATGGATCGTCTTTCAGCTTGAGGTAGCAAGGCCTTGTTCACCATCTCAAACATAAGTTGATATTATGGAAGCAGTGCCTTCTTGTACTCGTTCCCCTTGTTGAATAGCCTGCGACTTTAGAATGATCTTCCTAAAACTTGGGGAATAGGTCCCCTCAACAGTTGAGAGCCCCTCAGCAGACACATCAAGAATACTTCTCAGTACGGCCTCATCAATCACAAAATCCACACCATTGACTCGGGCAAATGTTGTCATCCTTCACAGTGAACAGATCAGCATAGAAACTGTGGAATACCTCCTCATAGACTTTTGGACTTTGAACAGTAAAAAGATGAGTCCACGTATGAGATTCACTGATTCAACTAACTGCCTCATGCCAACGTGTCAAGAATGTTAGTATCAAACACTGCCCCACATCACTTTTTGCTTCTTCAGCTTTGTTTTGCTTTCCCTCTCAGACACTTCCACTCTCGCCCTTTTTGAGAAACCATGTTCCTCACTGTTACTTGGCTTTCTCTTGTGAGACTTCTTTTTCCCAACACCTTTTTCCTTCCTAGTAGGCCTTTCCTTCTCACCAGACTCCTTCCTCTCAGCACTCTCTTCACCACCATTTCAACACCCTTCACAGATAATACCTTCTTGAGGTTCACAAGCACAGTCTTCTTAAAGGATTTGCGAAGAAGGGAAACAGGTTCCTTATTCACCTCTTCATCCTCAACTTTCGCAACATTGGCCGGAGGCAGATCTTCCTCATCAACTAATCTACTCGCCTTCACCAATCTTTTTCTCTTCATTTTCTCCTTATTCTCCTTTAAAACATTTTCAAGGGAAACTTTCTTCTGCTGCCTAGTGGTGGGTCTTTTAAGAACATACTCCTTAAAAGCTATCTCACCACTCCTAGCGGTGATGAACTTGGATACATGCACATTGTCATAATCCTCCTCACTTCCATCATCATCTTCTTCTTCTTCTTCTTCTTCTTCTTCTTTTTCTTTTTCTGACACAGACTTCATCTTAAGAAACACAAAGTCTAAAGGGGTTGCATCGAGGTGAGGGGAAGGAGGAGGGTCAGTACGGTCCAGGGGCTATTTGGTGGAGCATGGAGTTTCATCTCAAATCGGAGCAGAGTGCGCCTCTTGGACAGAGGGAGTAGGTCCCGCTGTTGGCTCCCCTGTAGTAGTAATTGGTACCAAGTCACCTTGAGGACCAGGTCCCTATTTCCATCCCCATTCCCTCTTTCTTCCCCCTGAACCCTAGCACTCACAACATCAGACACAAACTCCCTTTAGCAGCAATAAATAACATATTTTCTATAGCTTCATTCTCACGCATATCTTCTGAGAATGCAGAACCAGTAATAGCTAGATGAGCATTACCTGATGGAGATAGGACGTTTAGATCAAAAGTTGGAAAAAAGGAGGTGTCAGATGCACCATATTCTTCACCAAGACTAATGATAACCATATGGTCGTCACTTTCTTCCTCAACCCGCTGACTCGAGACCTCTGTACCTTCTTCCCCTTCCACCAGTCCTTCTACTTTCATGTTTTCTGTTGTAGCAGAGGGAGATGTCGAAGCGACAAACTTCTTAGGAATTTGGGTTTTTCGGCTATGATTTGAACCAGAACGGAGTAGGGGAGGAAACAGTAGGTGGTGGTTGGTTGGAGATAAGGGTTTCAGTAGGTGAGGAAGAGGCTCCGGTCCTGATGTCTGTGCTTCAAGAGACGAAGACACTATAGGGATTTCAATGGTGGCATTAGGGGACTCTGATTGCGGTGAAGACATGGTTGATTTTTAGAGTGAAGACATGAAAGAGAGGGTTTTCAGGGAGAAAGAGAGAGTTTGATGGCTTTGATGTAGACAATTATGAGAGAGACATGTCTTTTGGGATTATTTAGAGGGAAATGAGGGACCAGTTACAAATGGACGCGATTGAATGGGTAGTCGGGTCAGTTTGTAATAGGTTTGACATTTGGGTTTAAAAGATATGGGAAAAAGGGCGGACACACTTAATGACGTGGCACAGTGGCAGTTCAAAATGCATATGAGTGTAAGAGGAACTACTAACCCGAGTCACGGGAACCAGGCTCCCTCACTAATTTTGCAAATATGAGCATCATTCTTCTAACAGATTGCAATGTCATTAGCTGCTTGTTTGTCCTGTAATTGCCATGCGTGTTTACCTGCAATGGTATAAAATAGAGTTAGAAGTTGCCAGAAAACACTTTTTAGCAATTCACCTTACTATTCTTTCATAGCCAGTCATTGAGGGACAATGTTCTCAGCTCAATTTGATCAATCCTAGCTCCAGTAGATTCTTCTCAAAATGCTCTCTACTTAGTACTTTGGTGAAGATATCAGCTACCTGGTCCTCTGTTTTGCAAAACATCATACAGATGAGACCCTTTTCAACAATGTCCCTCAGGAAATGGTGTCACACATCAATGTGCTTTGTCCTCTTATGCTGAACACTATCATTTGCCATATTGAGGGTACTTGTGTTGTCACACAGTTAGATAGTACACCAAAATCTTCTAATTATTGCCTGATCCACAAGAGTTGAGCACAACATGAGGCAACTGGCACGTATTCAACTTTTGTAGTGGAGAGGGCTGCAGAATTTTATTTATGTGTACCCCATAAAATTAAGCATGATCCCAGAAGAAGTGCCATACCAGATGTTCTTTTCCTATCCACCAGATAACCAACATAATCAGCATCAACATACCCAATTATGTCAAAATTATCTCCTGAGGGATAATAGAGGACCAGGTCTTTATCAAAAAAAAAAAAAAATAGAGGACCAGGTCTTGCGTTCCTTTGAGAT